CCCCCACCCCCAGCGGGGGCCTCGGGGAGGAAGCGGGGGCAGAAAGCTGCATTCCCAGGGCCACCGTCTCTAAACCTCCAATCCTCAGGGCCCCTGCGCCGAGGGTGGAGACTTAGTCACCGTGTCAACAGAACGCCATGGGCTGCCTTTGGGGTTGGGGGGTCCCTCTGTCTGGCCTACTCGCTGCGCCATGGGGTTCTTTGCAGGCCTTAATTCATTTGGCCCTCAGGGCAACTTACAGATCTAGTCTCCTCGCTCTGCTTCTCTGTGCTTGGCACAGAGGAGTTAAGCCACTTCCTGACTCCAATTCCATTTCCAGGGAGCCCAGAGAAGGGCAGAAAGGGGGAAGGGGGGGTGTTGTGCCCCTCCCCCAAACCACAGGCAGTCGAGGCTTCCAGGACAGTGGAAACGCAGCACGTGGGGGAGGAGGGGCTTTGTCTCCCAGGAAACGCTCTGCAGCTGAGCCTCAGAGCTCTCACCCAGGAGCAGCCCAGGACAGCCCAGCTGGACAGCAGGCGGCCGGCCGCCCTGGCCTCCAAGCACCCGAAAGACCGTCAGCTCCGTGTCTCCACACCACTCTTGTGTGTGGAAATGGGGTTTGGCAGGACATGCTGGGGCCTCTCTCTGCTCCCCTGAGGCAGGGATGCACAAGACCAGGAGACGGACTGGGAACCAAATGGTTCCACCCCCCAGCCCTCTAGGCGGGGCCTGGAAGAGCCCCATAGGCAGAGAAGCACCAGGGAGAGCAGGTTTCTTTATGAAATCAGGAGTAGAAAATCAGCAGCGAGTACAAAAAAAAGATGCCTTGGCTAGAGATCTGAGATGGAGAGGGTGGTGGTTGTGGAGATGTGGGGAGCTCCTTGGGGGGCACGGGAGCTTCCAAGCTCAAGAATCAGCTCTAGGCTTGGAGAACAAGCTTGGGGAAGGCATGTTTTACAGGCACGCGGTATATATAGAGCCCTCTGAGTGAGGCTTGGGGTAAGTCCTGAGCCCTCTTCATTCAGGGACACTTTGAACCCCAGAGGGAGCCACTTCTCTGGCCCCAGGGCCAGGGCTTCACTGACAGGGAGCAGAGGAAGCATTGGGACACCCCCGGGAGGCTGCCTGGAGGAGGCAGCAGACAGCTTCATATGAAGGATCTGGGTGCTCCCTTATGTCCTTTTATGTGTCCTGTCTCCTCTGTTTCCAGCCCCCAGCAGCCCCCCTTCCTTCTCTTTCACAGTCTCCTCGTCTTCTTGCTGTGGAGACAGATAGCCCAAGAAAATAAGGATTTCGTCTTCCAAGCCTCTCACAATTCTCTGGGAACCTGAGTCCTGCATGGCTCTTGTCCCCGCCGCTGTCCAGATGGAGGCTGAGCTCAGGCAGGCTGGGACGCTGGCCCAGTTTGAACTGGAAGGAAGTGGAGCTTACGAACCAAAGCCAAGTCTGGACTCTCCAGCTTTCTGGGTCTCAAAACTGGGTGAATGTTTGGACATGACGTGAATGGATAGAGATGAGGGAATGGACTGACCAGTGGTGGGTGGGCTGAGAAGGTGAGTGAGCAAATGGACAGATGACATGATAGCAGGGGTAACGGTGGGTGAGTAGATGGATGGACGGGTGGACGGGTGGATGGTGGATGGATGGGTGGATGGATGACGGGTGGATGGATGATGGGTGGATGATGGGTGGGTGGATGACGGGTGGATGACGGGTGGATGGATGACGGGTGGATGACGGGTGGACGGATGACGGGTGGATGACGGGTGGACGGATGACGGGTGGACGGATGACGGGTGGATGGCGGGTGGACGGATGACGGGTGGACGGATGACGGGTGGACGGATGACGGGTGAACGGATGACAGGTGGACGGATGACGGGTGGATGACGGGTGGAC